AGCCACTGCTCCTGGCATCACCTTAATCTTGAATGTGTTAGTAAAGTAGTTCTGCTAAGCACTGACTGCAGTGTCTAAAATATATTTCTTTTTTTTTTCTTTTTTTGTTTGAGTCAGAGTCTCACTCTGTTGCCCAGGCTAGAGTGCAGTGGCACACTCATGGCAACTGCAGCCTCAATCTGCTGGGCTCAGGCAATCCTTCCATCTCAGCCTTCCAAGTAGCTGGAGCTATAGGCATGCACTACCATGCCCAGCTAATGTTTTGGTTTAATGGTCTTGCCATATTGCTCAGGCTGGTCTGGAACCTGTGGGCTCAGGCAGTCCTCTCACCTCTGCCTCTCAAAGTGCTGGGATTACAGGTGTGAGCTAACACACCCAGCTTATTTGTTTTTCTAAATTCTAGACAGTCCTCTTATGTTCTGCCTTTCCAAAATGAAATTATATAGCTTTTGATTTATGGAGTACCAATAATTATTAATTTCATCTTGTACATACTTTGCTGTCTTAGGTAAGTGAGCATTTAATATGGTAGAATCACTAGGAATTAAAGGTAGGTTAAGGGACAGATAGAATGAAAGAGACATCTAGAATGCCTCTTGATAAGATGGAGAATACTGAAAGATCTGATGGTGGAGAGAGTAGAATTATGATTCTGTTTGGATATGTTGATTTTCAAGAGCCCAAAATGGGGTTATCCTGAAATGGGGCACCTTTAGGTATCTACTAGGCAATTAGTTCAGCATACATAGGACTGGAGTAGGGATAGAGATTTGGACAGAAATGATCAGGTATTGCTGAAAGTACATCTAAGTAAAAACCATGAGTTTAGGTGAGATCACTTAGGGAGACACAGTGTTTAGATGACAAGAGAAAGGGGGCAAGAACAGAATCCTGGAGAATACCAGTGTTTAAGGGGTAGCTCAAGAAAAGTAAGCCCATACAGTAGACTAGGAAACAAGCAGCCCAAGAATGAGAAGAGCATCAGGAAAACAATGTCCTGAAGCCGAGGAAAGAGAGATGAGCTGAGGGCATAAGTCAAGCTACAGAAGGATCCAAGGCAATAGGAACTAGGATGTAACTATTGAATTTGATCAATTAAGGGCTTTTATTTTATTTTTGAGTTGGGGTCTCACTCTGTCACCCAGGCTGAAGTGCAGTGACATGATGATGGCTCACTGCAGCCTTGACCTCCTGGGCTTAGGTGATCTATCAGCCTCAGCCTCCTGAGTAGCTGGGACTACAGGTGCATGCCACCACACCTGGATAATTTTTTTATTTTTTGCAGGGATCAGGTCTTACTATATTGCCAGACTGGTCCGCAACTCCTGGGCCCAAGCAATCCTCCTGCCTTGGCCTTTCAAAGTGCTGGGATTACAGGCTTGAGTCACTGCACCCAGTCAATTAAGGACTTTTGAATATATTTTAATAGACTTTTAAAAAGTAACACACTTTTATTGCAGATATATTAGAAGCACAAGTTAGCAAATATGAAGGAAAAAAGTAAAACTGCTTGATAGTCTACCATCCCAAGATAATCATTTTTAATATTTTTGATATATTATCCTTTCAGACTTTTTCTTATTTTTAAAAAATATTTTATCTTTTGAGTCAGAGTCTCACTCTGTCACCCAGGCTGGGGTGCAGTGGCATGCTTACGGCCACTGCAGCCTTGACCTGCTGGGCTCAGGTGATCCTTCCGCCTCAGCCTTCCAAGTAGCTGGAACCACAGGCGTACACCACCATGCCCGGCTGATTTTTTTTGATTTATTATAGAGACAAGGTCTTGCATGTAACCTAGGCTGGTCTTGAACCTGTGGGCTCAGACAATCCTCTTGCCCCCGCCTCCCAAAGTTCTGGGATTGCAGGTGTGAGCCACTGTGCCTGGCTTTTTTCTCCCCTCACCTTCCCTCCCCTCCCCTCCATTTTTGAGTTGGAATCTCACTCTGGCACCCAGGATAGAGTCCTACTGGGCTCAGGCAATCCTTCCGCCTCAATCTTCCAAGTAGTTGGAATTACAAGCACATGTTGTCACGCCCAGCTAATTTTTAATTTATTGTAGAGACGAGGTCCACCATGGTGCCCAGGCTGGTCTCAAACCCACGGGCTAGGCAATCCACTTACCTCGGCCTCCCAAAGTGCTGGGATTACAGGCTTGAGCCACCATGCCCAGCCTTTTTTCTATTTATTAATAGATGTTTTTTTTGAGATGACCTCTGGCTGGTATAGCTATTGAATAAAGGGGTTCATATGCCAAGAAGATAAATATAGGGTGTCATGGGCTGGGCATGGTGGCTCACATTTGTAATCCCAGCACTTTGGAGGCTAAGGCAAGAGTATTGCTTGAGCCCAGGAGTTCAAGACCAGCCTGGATGACATAGTGAGACCTCGTCTCTACAAAAAATCAAAAAAACTTAGCTGGGCATGGTGGCACGCACCTTTAGTCTTAGCTACTCAGGAGGCTGAGGCAGGAGGATTGCTTAAGCCCAGGAAGTTGAGGATGCAGTAAACCAGGATCATGCCACTGTATTGCAGTTTGGGCAACAGAGTGAGACCTCAACTCAAAAAAAAAAAAAAAGGGTGTCATGGACAGCATATTGATGAAGCAAAGTAGTAAATCTAACAGACTACTCATGAGAACGGAGAAATGGTACCTTTAACATGTCCATGGAAGGCACCTTTTCCCTCTCAGCACCGGAGGGCTCAGCCAAATCCAGAGTACAGAGGGGATTCCCAAATGGCATGTATCTCCATACCTAATATAATACCTAGCACATAGAGGGGTTCTTCCTTTTAGTAAATAAAACAGGAGGCATTTAGAGCAGATGACAGCAGTCAACTGTATTGCAGTTGCTTCACTGGAGGATTCACCGTCCATCTAAATATAAATACCCAATTGGAGAAGAACTTGGGAGTAGGGGTCCCAGCATTGTCACTGGTGGGAATTCAGAGCCATAGATGTTGGCTGCCACATCCTTTGATTGTGCTTTTCTAGGCTGACATGATCTGTGAATAGTGTTTCAGCAAATAGCTCCAACATATAATTCCAAGTCATGAGGTGTTCTAGACAGCACTTTTTTTTTTTTTTTGAGTGGAGTTTCATTCTGTCGCCCAGACTGGAGTGCAGTGGCTGCTCCCGGTCACCGCAGCCTCGACCTGCTGGCCTCCGGCGATCCTTCCGCCTCAGCCTTCCGAGTAGCTGGAATTACAGGCGCGCGCTACCACGCCCAGCTAATTTTTTATTTATTGTAGAGATGAGGTCTCACCAAGTTGCCCAGGCGGGTCTGGAACCCGCGGGCTCAGGCAATCCACTCACCTCAGCCTCCCAAGACACGGGATTGCAGGCTGAGCCACCGAGCCCGGCTCTAGACAGCACTTTAAAAATGGGTGTAGTGTCCCAGAGATTTGTCCATATCAGTTGTCCTTAGTTTGGGAACATCTTTCATGGTGCATCAGTGTACACCAGCAGAGAATGCCCTCACAACTGTCCAAAGGCCAAAACTGCCCAGAGGCACTGACATTGAAGCAAGGTTTTACATGGCACAGTGGAAAGGGTTGGGAGGGAATTCAGGAATGGAGGGTGGACCATTGGGGAGAAAGGTGGAAACTATGTGAGGATAAGAGTTTAGAAGAGGATAGATGACCTGGGCAGGGGTGTTGTGTGAAAAGGAGAAATTGCTTTGCTTCATAAATAGTCTCATCGACTGAATTAGTTTATTTTGCTTTATTTAAGAGATCTCATTTTTAATTCCACTGTCTTAGCTCCATTTCTCTGATATGCAAAGATGTGGTTTAGTTTCCTTTAAAATTATATATTTATACTTTAAAAACATAAGCAATACATTATTATTTAAAAATAAAGTAAATGAGGTAAGTAAAAAGGAAAAGACAAACCTCTCTTGAAATCCCATTACCCACAGACATCATTTTGGTATATATTCCTCCAGACTGTTTCTCATCTAACAAATACTTGTGTATTTAAATTTTAATTTTAATAATGATTATACTGTTATCACCTTTTAAAAAACATAACACTGTCTAATAAATACTCTTTGTCAGAATAGGTAGATTGCTGCCATAATTTTTATTTTATTTTATTTTTTTAATTTATTTTGAGAAAGCAGGATTTATTGAGAGGACAGTGGGAGGGGACCCAAAGGGGTTGCCAGTTTTTTTTTTTTTTTTTTTTGGAGTCTTGAGTCTCACTGCAGCCTCGAACTCCTAGACTAAATACATCCACCCTCCTCAGCCTCCCAAGCAGCTGGGACTACAGGTGTGTGCCACCACACTTGGCTAATTAAAACAAATTTTTTTTTTGGTAGAGATGAATTCTTGCTATGTTGCCCAGGCTGGTCTCAAACTCCTTGACTCAAGTGATTCTCCTGCCTTGGCCTCCTAAAGTGCTAGGATTATAGGCTTGAGCCACCACATTCGGTTTGCTATCATTTTTTGTTGTTACAGTAATACATTATAGGATGTATAGGTACCATATTTATTTAATAATCTACTGTTGGACTTTTGAATACTTTCTAATTTTTATAAATAAGATAGAAAAACTTTGTACAACTTGGTATATTTGAATATTTCCTTTGGGTAAATTTCTAGGAGTTTTCAGATGTGCTTTTTGGTTTAATTTATTTTTTTGTCTCTTTTCTCATAATTTAGTATTTGGCTCTGAAATCCTTTTTATGTTGGTAATTTTGGAGCATGTTTAAAAATATTTGATGAACAGTATACAATCAATGGGCTAGGCATATATTGTTTGTAAGATAACAATTTACCATTGTTTCATATATCTTTAAAAGATTTTTTCCCTCAGGTAGGGAGGCCAAAAACATTAGTCTGCAAAACTTTAGGTTGTCTTCTCCCAAAGGGCTTGTACATTTAGTACTTAGGCAGTGGAATTATGATAATTATAAAAATTGTTAAAACTCTATGTTAATAATGTCTTCTGAATGTGTGGAAATGATTAACACTGTTTTCTTTGATTACTTTTTTTCCAGGTGATTCATGGCAGGGGACGTGGAAGGATTCTGTTCCTCCATTCATGATACCAGTGTCTCTGCTGGATTCAGAGCACTGTATGAGGAGGGATTACTTCTTGATGTCACTCTGGTTATCGAAGATCATCAGTTCCAGGCCCACAAAGCACTCTTGGCCACCCAGAGTGATTACTTCAGAATTATGTTTACCGCAGACATGAGGGAACGAGATCAGGACAAAATTCATTTGAAAGGTCTAACTGCTACTGGTTTTAGCCACGTCCTTCAATTTATGTACTATGGAACTATAGAACTAAGTATGAATACTGTTCATGAGATTCTTCAGGCTGCCATGTATGTTCAACTTATAGAAGTGGTCAAGTTCTGCTGTTCCTTTCTTTTAGCAAAAATCTGCCTAGAGAACTGTGCAGAAATTATGAGACTCTTAGATGATTTCGGTGTCAACATCGAGGGAGTCAGGGAGAAGTTGGACGCCTTTTTGCTAGACAACTTTGTGCCACTCATGTCCAGGCCTGACTTTCTGTCCTATCTTAGCTTTGAGAAGCTCATGTCTTATTTGGATAATGATCATCTGAGCAGGTTCCCAGAGATAGAGCTGTACGAGGCTGTGCAGTCTTGGCTGCGGCATGATAGAAGACGCTGGAGACATACCGATACCATCATTCAGAACATCAGGTTTTGTTTGATGACCCCATCCAGTGTTTTTGAGAAGGTTAGTGCATTTGAAAGCAATGGGTAGGACTCATTTAGTTAAAACAGTATGTCTTTAGAGATAAGATTCCCAGACTTAGGAGCTAAAAACATAATTGATAGTTTATAAAAGTAGTTTATGTGTAATAAGCCTGATTTGTTGTGCATTTAGATTTTTTAAAATACATTTTGTGGGTGAAAAATGAACCAGGTAGGTAGTAGAATAGTTTTATTTTTAAAGTACTTTTAAAGTTGAAACATAATTATTTGACGTAAAATACTGTGTTTGCTTTAGCTTTTCA